CGTGCCAGATCAAGCTAATTTTGTGATGCCGTATCAATGATTAATTAATAAACATTTATATTACACTTATCACAAAGTAAATCTAATGATTTCACGATCGATTTTAATAAAAAAATTTTCATAAGTAGACTGTAACGTAGCTCTAAATATGAAATCCGAGTATAAAATTGGAAAAATTACATTGTACTCTAACTAAATGAAAGAAAAATAATTGAGTTAGAATATCTTGATATAAATTGTATTAGAATATTGTTTAAAATTATTGGATTTACTTTGAGATCAGTGCAGTACAAATTTTTATTGCATATAGCACTAATCTCAAAGTAAATTCGGAAACTTTAAATACATACTGATAATTTGCATGAAGATATTTTAATATAATTGTTTTTCTAAATGAATTCAAAATTTTATATAGTTCTCACCTAATAAGTAATATTTTTTTCTTGGTCAAGGCCTGAAAAATCTTCAAAAAATAGATAAATTTGTCAGATTTAATTCAATGCAGATAGAAAGAACAAGAAATTCAATCAGCAGCAGCTTGCAGGCACGTCAGAGACTCTGAGCAGCTCTTCCAAGTATTCAGCTCCCAAGTCTTCTAACTCCACCACGCTTTCCACCTCCTTCCTCTTCGCCGCCGACTTCCGATGTACAGAATGGCGCCGCTTCAGTGCTACCACCGGCGAGCACCCTTCCTCACCATACGTAACTCCTCTGAGCGACTCCTTGACTTTCTCCACCGGAAAATTCAGCATTGCCATTGGCCCTCTCATGGAGAAGGCAGCCTGGTCATAAGCCAGCGCCGCCTCCTCCGGCGTGTCAAACGTTCCTAACCACACTCTCACGCCTCGCCGCGTCGAGTCTCTGATCTCAGCGGCGAACTTACCCCACGGCCGCCGGCGAACGCCCCTATAGCTGCTGCTCTGCTTCTTTGGCTGAGACCCGGCGGCAAAAGTGGAATCTTCTGCGTCAGCTGACGAAGCGGCTGACACTAACATCATGTTTAAGAGGAGCATGTCGTCGGAGTCGTCGAAGTTGAATGGGAGGAGAGGTGCCTGAGATGATTCCAGTGAAGATTTTGAGGATGGATGGGAGATTGTGGACTGGAAGAACGGAGAAGAATCCATGGATGATCAGAGAAGAAAAAGAAGAGTTGTTCTGTTTTTTTCTTCCACGTTTACATCGATCTTGTAGAATCGCAGAGGGAAGGGGAGATTTATATAATTATATTGTGTGATTGACTGGGAAAGAATTCGTTTATTTGAGTAAAATTTTGGTCAATGCATGCTTAGAAGTTAGAAGAATAGAAGCAGAAAAAAAAGTATTTCTTAATATTTGGACTATTTTTTGTTAGGATGAATTTTAAAAAATAGCATATGATTTTATTTAAATATGAAATTATCTTATATTTTTATTAATTTTTGTTAGGATATTTAATTAATAGTAGGATTTGCATACATACTCAAATAATATTTATATATTTATATATATA